TGGTTGTGTCTGTTGTTGTTGCTCCTGTAGTGGTTGTGTCTGTTGTTATTGTTGTTGTCGCTCCTGTGGTTGTTGTGTCTGTGGTTGGCGCTGCTGTCGTTGCTGTCGCTACATTATTAAATAAAATTATTTTATTTTGTTTAGTGGTTATGATTATTCATTTCAAGAGGTATTTAATTAATCAATATACTTCTTGTTAGTTAGAATTGTTGTGATAGTTAAGGAATGAATTAAAATGAAAATGACTATCAAGAACAATAATTGGCAATTCTTACTTGTATTTGTTGTCATTGTTGACTCGTTTCTAATCGATGTTAATACTATAGTTGTAGGAATAATTATTGCAGCAACTAGCATTAATGCTATAAGCAATCCAGCTAACACTGGTGCATTACAGCAACAACAACAACAACAACATAGTTTTGATATTGCTGCTGCTGCTCTTCGATTCCTATAAAGGTTATTATATGAATTAAAACAGAAATTGAATAAAAGAAAAAACATTACCGATTTTCACTATTTTTATTTCTATATGCATAGACAGTCGGTGTAATACTACGAATAGGTGTTACGGTAGTATGATTGTTTGGCGACATAACATAAGTTGATACTTGTAAGGAATTAGGATCAGGTGTTTCTACAGGAGGAAGTGTTGAGTTTGGCGGAGAAGGAAAAATGTTCATTATGTCAGTCTGAGAATTTGGAGAAGGCACAGAAGTTTCCCCCAGTTCAATATTCGATGGAGAAACTACTGTGCGTTTAGGACTGAACATTTTTAAAAATAAACTCGCGATTAACTGTTTTATAAAATATACGTTTTGTGATGTTGCTTTTGTGTTTTATATTTGCCAAGTTAATGTGTTTTTTTAATACACAGTGGCAAATACAATTTTATTTCAAGTTATGAAGACGAGAAGGAGTAGAAAAACAAAAGAATCCTAAATAATATACATCGATCAAATGGACATGCTATTAAAAAGAAATGTTTAGCAAGCAATACTTAGAAAACTTTGATCCCTTGAAAACAAAAAAGAGATTAAAGAAGTTCTATAACAGCAGAGTACTATCATCATCGATCAAAAAAACAAGCATCCACTAATAATATTTTCTTTGTTTCTAAGCAGGACGATTTAGAAAAAAAACAGAACAGATAAAAGGATAATATAACTAATGATTGCATTGTTTATCGAGTTGAACGACAAAGCAAATGTCTGAAAAAGCAATTGTTTTTAAACATGAATTATTACTACAGGTAATGCATGTTCTTCCAATACATATTAGCATTAAGTTTGAATTATTACTTATAGATTTATCGACAATGATAGATAAAAATAATCAAGTGACATAGAATGAACTACTTTTTTTTTGAATTATTAAATGATAATAATCAACTTTTATTTTTGTATTACTATTGTCAAGAATCTGAGCTCGAAAATTTCAAGAAGTAAGAAAAGAAAATATTCAAAATTCAAGTAAGTATTTGATTTTATTACTTATGAAAGAGTCACAAAACTGAAATTTTTCTTTCAAGATAATATGTATCGACAGATTTCAACTGAACCATAATATATGTTTAATATCTATCTAAAACAAATTGTGCTTGTCTGTTAATTATATAAGCAGTATTGTGTATTGACGATTCTTAAAACGACACAACAATAAGAGAATCCTATGAAATAACGATTATTAAAGAATATTTGTCCTTAAAATTTTTTTTCTTATGAAAACAAAAATGCACTTTGAGAATAATGACAGTTGCTAACAATAGAAAACTAAAATATTAATCTAGGGTGCCACTCTCTTCTCGAGGCTTCTCAAGAATGACTGATGAGAAAAATTTGAAATTTTCAAGGCAGATAGATCTTGACGAGTATAGCAAAATTTGTCATCCTAAATGCTGTCTTCTATGAGATATTGGACCTACAATTGGTCAAAATGACTTCCTCCTCCGGATTCTCCAAGATACTACGTTCAATCAAGTTCAAAAATTTTTTATACGTATTGAATAGTATTTTGGTTAGTATTTCTTTTGGTTACCTTATATTGTTTGTCCTTTTAATAAAAATGCCAAAATACTGGACGTATCCTAAAGGACGTTTGTTTTTTTTATAGGACAAAGTTTGTAAATGCTACCAAAAGCCATCAGAGCAATAGTTTTTGAGATTAAAGAAAAACCTATACCATGTAGTGACTAATATATGTGAAGAAAGTTTCAACTCGATATCTTTTAGTATGTCGTAGAAATGAGGACAAAACACTACTGTTTTTTATATAAAATCTGATTTTGAGAAAAACTCAAAACAAAATTAAATATTGATTTTTTCCTAAATAATTGGTCGCTAATAAAAAAAGAAAAGTATGAGAAATTATTGTAGATTCTAGTAGTTACTAGACTCTATTCAATATGATTGATGATCAAATAATAATGGTGACTGTTGATATAAAAGAAAATAATCAGACAATAGTTTCTTAATAGTTCTCACTTTGTTTAGCTACCTGCATTTTAATTCACTAACATAGTTGTCTTTAGAAATATGACATTTCCAGAAACTTCAATTAAATAAAACTACAATAGAAATTTATTAAAGAATAAGTAAACATTTTATTTTTTTGGATTCCAAATCTGAACATTCTTATTCCTTCTTCTTCATTTTGATCTATAAAAATAAATAAAATGCAAAGAATCTAAGAATGCAACAGCTATAAATGAAGATTTTTATCAATAAGAAATGATTTGTATGTATTACATCTGAATGCTTTACTTATAAAATAATGATTATATTCTTTTTTAGCAATATTTGATAAATTTTAATTTAGATTGTTTTCATAGATAGCTTGACTAGAGAAAAACAGCTATCTGTAACAGAGCTGCTTGTGTGACCTGTTATCTGACCGGTGCATGTCAGATGAAAATTTCAAATTTTAACCTGGCTTGGCTCTTATATTTTGAAAATCAAATGTTGATGCATCTTCTTATTATTCAATACTACTGTGACAAATTCATTTGATTCAAGTAACAAACACTTTGCGAAAATTAATTGTCAAATATAAATATCACTTTTTCCTTTATTTCGTCATTGTATACCTAATCATATGTTGTTGTTTTTTTGCTATCATGATTATATTTTTCTAATTAAGCGAAACAGGACTGATATGATCAAAAACATTGTATTAATTCATGCCTTTGTTGTATGAAAAATATTTATGATGTTTATCCTTTTATTTTAATTTGCTATTTCGTGAAAGGAACTATTATTATCTTATCTTTATAAAAAGAAATTAAGTGAATAACTGAAACTAAAATAATACATTAATGTAGAGTAATACAATTGAATGTATTCGAAAACTCAGAAATATTAATCTATCTAATTTGGCATGCAGTCATTTCGAACCAGGAAAAAAAAAGGTAGTCTGTAGCATACGAAAAAAAAGTTGCTATGGATGCGTAATCCAATCGTTGAATATATAGATTCAAGAACACCAATTAAGAAATGAATCTGACTAAGGCATAGATATTTGCTTGTTTAATTTCTCTTCTTGAATTGATTATTGACTCTATGTGCCAAGCTTTATTGTTCATATCTATATAAAAATTATACAAATGGACAAAAAAATTCTTAGTAAAATCGGCCTTTCCTACAGAACTATCATTGTATAGAAGATATTAAACTACTGAAAGCAAACTTGGAATAGTGTTAATGTCCATTCTGAGATGATAAATATTATCTTTGTTGTTTGTTCCAAGAAAATGAAATTTAGCGTTTTCTCATAAGTCAATACTTACAGAGAAACTACCTCAACTATAATTCAGCGTTTCAACTCATAGTGAATCCATAACGCAGTCTTGGTAGGACTGGAAAAATGCTTAAAAAGGTTACGTGCTCATGGACCTTTGCAACCAAGTTATGATCGTTTTACTGAATTTTCAATCCACGTTCAAGTATATACTGAAAAATCAAATAATGGAATTTCGACCTGACATTCAGCATCTGAATGGATTTAATAATCCTTGGAATATTTTGAAAGTTTCAGTCAAAAAGAAAGTTACTTTATCAAAATATTAAATTTCCAACAAATAGTCGCTTGCCATAGGTATGTCAACAAAACTCAAGTTCACTTGGAAATTTCATATCTCGACAAATGAACATTCTTTTTAACTGAAATTTTCAAGATATTCCAGGGATCATTGAATCTATCTATGGGCTGAGTTTCTGATCAAAATTTCGTTATTTGATTTTCTAGTAAATACTTGAAAATAGGTCGAAAATTCAGTAAAACGATCGAATTCAGCTCTAGAGACTTATGGACACGAGTCCTTTTAAACATTTGCTAGTATTACAAAGACTTCTTCGTGAGCTCAATATGAACTCAAACAGTGAATTACAGTTCGAATACTTCCCTCTTTTGTTCATACTAGAAAAAAGAAAAAAGCGAAAAGGTTTACAAATAAAGCATTATCAAATATACTTAGTTTTTCTGATTTTATTTATAATTATACAAATGATTACATATATAAAAGAAGTAATCAAATTTCTCAAGTACAAAGAAAACACAAAAATTATTAATTTATTTTGTTTCGATGATATACAATTAAATATGTGGGTAATGCTAAATGAGCATCCTCATTAGACAAACAAATACAATCCTGATCAGAAATCTTTTTTGATGATAATTGAACAGCAAACATATAATATTTTCCATCCGTTGAACGACGTGTATCATATATATGAGTACTTGATGCAACAGAAGTTAAGCGTATCAAACTTTCTTGTCCATCTAAATTACAAACAGAATTTTTTTTCATTAAAAAATACAATATAACAAACCCCTATTGGAATGTAAACCATAATGAATTATTGATTGAACAGATGAAAATGGACATCCATGAAAAAATAATATATCATTTTTATATTTTTTTCCAGCATAGTGAACATATAATGGCCAATTTTGAATAGCATCAACCTTTTATTAAATAGAAACTTAATCATTCAAATAATTATTTAATTAAAGTTTATCATACTCGTTCAATATACCATTCAGATTTAGGCATTGATCGTTCAAAGACGCGAATACATTCAATTGAATTAAATTGAAGATGTGAGATTGAAAATGTTTGAATCATCAAGGAAGTATGCAACCATGTCGATGGAGGAACAATTTTAGAATCTGCTAAAATAAAACATCCGATTTTCAAACGCGCTTATGAATCAGTATTTATTATTTTTTTACCGTTTAATGGTTTTCTATCAAGACGAGCAGGTTTTTCATCATCGTAGATTTCTACTTGTGAAGTTTTTACATCAATATCAAATATAATATTATTATCACGTTCAATACGAATCTAATTAAAATTGAGAAAAAGAATATTTTTTTGCAAGATAAAATAAACAAATAACAGAATATTTACTTTCGATTTATCAACTGAAAAAGCTTCATCAATTTTCATTGATTCATACGTATTCAGTTTAATTTCGTTAGATATGTTTCCAGTTTTATAAATATAATATTTATGTATTAATCTTTCTTGTCGAAGATTAGCAAAACATTGTGAACATGATTCACGATCACCACGAAGTATTAATTTATTTTTAGAAAAATCAATACGTGGTAATATATGATACTTGAGACATACATCAACTAAGTGTTCGACCTTTTCAATGAAACCAAAAAAAGAATTTATTTAGAAATTAGAATCAGATCAATACTTGATCAACGAATGGTTTTTGAACAAGAAATAGATCATATGTTGTTTCACCGATCAATTCTTTTAATA